CTGGACAGTCACAGTCACTCCAATTTCTAGATCAAGTTGATCTCGTGAATCTCCTAGACTCATTCCATCTGCTATACCTAGATTTCGCTGCAAAATCATGGCAATTCTATTTTTCACGCACAAAAACAGAATATACTCGCAAACCGAGATGAACAGAGAGATGCGTTGCTTTTCTAGGGTATGATTACCCGACCCGAGGTCGGGTAACCCTACCAGACCTGTCTCTGGTTCAACATGCGGGGCGGGTCTTGAATCTTCAGCAGGGCGATATTTGACCCGTCGACCTGACTTGAACCCGCCTCGGGTCAACCTGGACGGGACAGGTCAGGACAATGCCCGTGTCTTTTTTCAATTTCTGTTTCCACTTCTCTCCCACCAAATACTTACTCTATCCCTCTCCCTTTCCTTGCATGGAACCCTAAGCGCATCATCAGGGATCTATCAACCATCAACCTCAACGGGGTTTTTCTATCCACCATCAGCAACATGATCAGCCTTGAATACATGTCATTGTCTTTGCACGGCTAATTAATTCCTGCAACTACAGCTTGAGCTGGTTCTGGTTTGATTTGGGCATGAACAAGGAGAGCCAGGCCAGGCCGCTAGGGCCATCGAGGACCGTCAGAGTGGTATTGGGTTAGCTTCACAACAAGGCTATAGGAGGTCCACCACATGGTGTCAGGCACAAGGCTCCCACAAAGGATCTGGAATACATGGGTGTCACTGGTCCAGCCCGCCACGCACAGTGGTGACCTCCCGGCCACCTCTTTTTTTTGTTCATGTCGAACACATTTGTGTTTGGATTGTCCATGCAGCCTGAGCCATGGCATCGCAGATGTCCCCCGACCAATTTATGTCGACAGGACATTCAGTTTGAGCTCATTTTTGAGCTCAAACTTAGTCGATCTTCTCTCCCACAGCCGGCACCCGGAGCCTCGCAACGAAAATTTTCAAAGCCATTTCAGAGGAATGGTGGCCCCACTTATTTCATTCTCACCCCGTCAGGACTATCTCTCCGCAAACGATTGGGTCCTGGAGCATGAAGGGATTCATTCGCACGTCCGCGCACTGAAAATTACCTTGGTTTTGACTGATGGACAAGCTTGCTTCGACATCTACAGGGTAGAACAGGGTAGGAAGGTTTAGCAGGTATCTTGTGGTAGTTGTACCAAGGACTTTCACGCTGTCATTACCATTCTGGTCGTTAGGGGGTGGATTGCAGGTCCTTTTTCTGGCGGCGCTGCCCTGGGGGCTTGTCACTATCTGCTTGGCAGCTCCCCCTCTCTCCAAACATCAGGAATTGGCTCTCAATCATTTGGACCGCTGGAACCTCTGCCTGCACTCACCCATCTGGGCGGTGCCTGACCTGCGCCATTCATTCATCTCGGACCAACTGTCTCGGCACCGTGACGTTCTTTTTTGTCTATACACCAGAGCTCTACCGTACACCTCTCGGTTTCTATATGTTCCTTTGTTTGTCTATTTTCCCTTGCTGCCCTTGCTGCGAAGACTTACCTTACATGTTTTTTAAGTGCGGCTACGCCCCAGCAGCAGTAGCGGCCCTGCAACGAGTCGCCTTCCAGCATCTGTCAACGGGAGTTGTGTTGGCCCCGTCTCGCTTGGGCGGAGCCGACCTCGTCGTTGGGTGTGCGGGAGGTGCAGCCGACCTGCAGCAGGTCGAAGGGGCGGGCTGGTCAACCTACACAGGGCCCACTGCAAAGGCGCCGACTTCGGGAGGGCGCCAACTTCGGGAGGTCGACTTGGGAAGTCCACCTGTGGAGGGCGTCGACTTGGTGACGCCGACTTGGGGAAGCCGACTTGGGTGGTCGGCTGACGGGTGTGCTGGTCGGCCTGGGGCTGGTCGGCCTGGGGCTGGTCGACCATTTGCGCGGTCGACCTGGGTGGTCGACAGGCACAAGGAGGAGCTGGTCGACATGGTGGTTGCCGGATCGAACAGGTTACCCGGGCGACGGGTTTTTTGCGGAGGCACGCGACGGTCGCCTAGGTGTTCGTGTCGAGGCCGACCTCGGTGTGGTATCCCGAGGTCGACATGGCTGATCAGATGCAGTCGTCAGCATGAGGACAATCTAGTGTGTGCGCTGTGCATGTGACAAGACACAGCCCGCAAATCATGTGTGCGCACCAACGAAGCGGGTGCACTGCTGTCCTGTGGATGCAACGCTGGGCAGCCGATTTGCTGCAGTGTTGGCACGCCATCGACTGCAGTGTTGGCGGGTCGCAACTTTGTACTGCTGGAACGCGATTGACCAAGTCGTGTTGGAACGCGGTCGACCGTGCTACGCTGGCTGTCATCCTGCTTGCATGCTAGCTCTGATGTAGTCAGCGTAGCCAACTTTGTTGCCAGCATTCTGAACCATTGTTCTCAACTTTCCTGAGTGAAACTCTTGCCAATTTCCCATGTGAACCAGCAATTAGTGAGAACACAAGGAAACGACTAAGGAACGAATGTAAAGATCACTCCCACCCTGTGCCTAGCTCGTAGTCTAGCTCCCGTTGAAGTAGTTATCTCCGCAGCATCTTCACGCCCGTGTTGAGAGTAGGGTTGAGCAAGAGGCGAACACGAACGTGTTCTTGTTCGCCCCTGCACGAACACTGCCGTTCGGCGAACCAAACACTGTTCAATTCGCCGAACAACTTTAGCAAAAAAAGGTGTTCGCCGTTCGCCTGTTAAGGCGAACACCTTGTTGACGCAGGCGAACACAAACGTGTTCATGGCAAACACGTTCCTGTTCGCCCCGCGGACAGCATTCTTCATAATCACATCAGAGGGATGGTGAATTTGGGCATATTTACGGTTGGTTACGCAACTTTATTGTGTTATGGCGTCAATACTACCCTAAGGCGCCAGCCATCCTTAGACTAGACTAACCTAAGTGTACTTACTATTTTCGCTAAGTCCTCTCGGAAGAGGTGTTAATGGCGTGGTGTGTGGGGGGCGTGGTAGTAATGGATGCTGCTGCATAGCGAGACTATGTTTGAGCTCAAATTTGAGCTCAAACATTTTGCCCCGAGACCTAAATTTCAGGTGGCGGGAAAGTCGCGACGAACACATGCGTGTTCGTTTTTGCCCCGAAACGAACGAACACCTGTTCGGTTGTTTGAGGCGAGAAAAAACCGCGTGAAATCTGCCACCACCTACAGACTACTCAACTTCGACTCCAACGGTTCCCCTCAGCTGCATCCTATGCTCCAACAGACGTGGCTATTGAACGAAGCCTTCCCTCCCCCTTAGAGCGCATGATCCCGTTCGCTGCAGCCACTCAGGTTTTTCACCTTTGTGCTATCTTCGGATTGACAATTAACACCATCTTGGATTCACTAGCCTGCCCCGTGCGGGCCGACCCAACCCGACCCGGGTTAAAACCCGACCCGAGCATGGGACTCGGGCCGAGTCGGGTCGGGTTTCGGGTCAGCTTTGACCCGACCCGAAATCGGGTCGGGATTTGGGAAATCGGGTCGGGTCTGACCCCGAACACAATCTATGTCAAGGGTAATTTTTTCCCCTCGACATCAATTCAACACCGCAAACCTAATATCTTTCCTTCAGCGACCTAAGGCACCTAGGAACCATAACTACGTAGTTTGCAGCCAAAGAATGATGCGACAACTTAGAAGTCGACTTTGTTGAGAGGCTCAATGTCGAGAGATCTATAAAGAGAGGGAGGGGAGGGGTTGGGAATGGTAGATTTAGTGCGGTAAGGAGTGGTGAGCAGTGGCGAACTGGTTGGAAATATTTGTTCAACACAATCGTCGGAAACGAGTGCCAAGGCGAAACTCCCAATCTCCACCAGATCGAACAGCGAAATTGACGATTTGCATATTTACGCCAACGAACTAACTGATCTGCGCAGATCGGTGGGCGAAAGCGCCGTTTTTCGCAGATCGGCGGACGAAAGCGCCGATCTGCACAGAGCGCGGGCGAAATCGGGTTTCCTGACCCGACCCAACTCGGCCCGAGCCGAAGTCGGGTCGGGGTCGGCCCGGCCCTGTACCCCCGGGTCGGGTCAGGGTATTCAACATCCTGGCCCGAGGCTGGCCCGACCCGACCCGGCCCGGAACCCGCTCGGCCCAGCCAAATCGGGTCGGGCCAGGTTGGGCGGGCCAAATGCTCATCTCTAGCTATTCTTGTTACCGGGAGTGGAGTGTTGGCCCTGCACTCGCTTGGGCAATGCCGATGACTTGGATGAATGTACGCGAGAAGCAGCCGACCGTTCACAGTGAGGGAGCTGCTCGACGGGCTTCGTTGAGCTGCAGGGATCACTGTGGTGTTGCCGTCGACCAGGGGTGCTCGATGGTTGCAGCTAGGCATGATCATCCTGCCCCGGCGGGTCGGGCCGACCCGACCCGACCCGGGTTTTGACCCGGGTCGGGTCAGACATTTTGAAGCGTTGACCCGGGCGGGTCGGGTCGGGTTTACCCGGCAGGGTCGGGCCGACCCGACACCCGAAACCGGGTCGGGTCGGGTCGGGTCAGTTTTTGACCCGAAATTTGACCCGTCTCGAAATCGGGTACCGCGCCCTAAGTCGGGTCGGGCATTTGGCCCGACCCGAGTTTCCCTCCCTCGACAATTCGAAGTAAAGCAGATCGCCGAAGTCAATGTCTAGGGTTTTTTTTTTCCCTCGACATTGACTTCGATCTGCTATACCTAGGCAGCTAGCACTCTCTAACTTAGCTCGTTCTTAACCTCTATAACTCTCTAAACCAGCGCCCATGTTTAGGAACCCTATTTCATGTGGTTCAATGTTGGCGGAATGGAGTTCTTAGCCTAGCGTGACCAACCACAGATTTTCGATTTTATAGACCTACTTATTCCACGCTCTCACACACGACTAAACTCTGGCCCCGCGTTCAAATCGCCCACTTCGCGCCTACCACGCCCGCATCTTTAGGGACGCGACCCCCAATTGTCTAGGCCTGCGCCATTACAAAAACGTCGCGACTCCAAGGTCCGAAACGTAATCGACGCCGCTTGCACGCGAATGGAGGGGGAAGAAGACAGCTCACGGGCTATTCCTGGGGCTTCACTTGGAGGCCTCCCGACACCGGCCTCCAGGGCCAGTTTTCGCTTGGGGAGCGTCTTCAATGGGCAGGAAATTGGGTGGGACGATGCAATCGCGACGAGGAGGCGTGAAGAGGTGCGGGAATGGGAGTCTCTAGGACCTGGCCCGGTGACGGAGGAGCAAGGAACACGGGGAAAGGAGAAGGACCCGGATTGGAGGCCGGCTCCGGGGGAGGCGGCCGGCACGAGTGGAGGATCGGGTGATGAGGGTTGGGGAGGGAGAGGAGCGGGCCAGGCTGGTGGCAGTGGCGCGCGTGGCAGCGGTGCAGCAGCAAAGAGGCCACGCCCGAGTGGGCCTGTGGGGTCGGGAGCTGGAGGGGCCGGGCCGGCGTCGAATTCGCAGCCGCAGGGGGCAGCCGCGGGTGGTTCTGAGGGGTCGGGCGCAGCAGGGGCAGGTACCTCCGCCGTTGCGGCAGGTGGTGCACCTTTGGGTGGGTCTACGGGGGCTGGAGCTGCTGCTGTGATTGCAAGCCAGAGGTCCGACAGGGCGGGCAGGACCCCTACCGACGAGGAGCTGGACCCATGGACTGAGGAGGTGCTTAGGAATGCAGAACCCGGCCTGGTTCGTGGCATGTTCAGTGAGGAGGATGTGAACGAGGCTAGGAATTGCAAGATTTGCAAGAAGAAGATTAGCTGGAAAGGTAGTTGCACGAGCACGGGGAAGAGACACCTCAAGAGGAGCCACTACCCCAGTCTGCAGATCTGGTGTCGGCGTTTCAAGGATCCAAACAAGCCAGACAACCTGACGTTTCCCGATGGGGGATGGGGTCCGGATGTCCCCGACCAGACAGCGTGGCCTTGGGAGCATGCAGCCACGTGGCCCAGGATTGTACAGACACCAGACAGCGCTGTGACTGGCGGATCCGAGGCTGGTGGGAGTAGGCAGATGAGCATGGCCGCATTCGTCACGCCGCGTGTTCATGGCCAGCAGCTGCGCGAGGGATTGGTGCTGCTATTTGCGGCAGCTGACCTTCCGTTTCGACTTGTTGAGTGTCGCGAGGTGAGTGACGCCGTTCTCTTGCCGTTGGTCATGTTCATCTTCGTATTGAGGTGGTCATATTCGTACAGGGCAGCCGCACTGCATTCTGTTGGCTAATCCCGAAGCATCTTCATAATCCTTTTACCGACATCCTTTGACTCCTGCGTTACAGTTCAAAGCATTTGTCCAGATGCTGAACCCGGGAGCTGCGCTACTGCTCGGCTCACGCCATCGCTTGGCACGGGACATGCAGGCATACGGGGAGGCTGCTCGGGAGGACATGCGGCAGCTACTGGTGGGTGATGGCCTGGCGGGAAGGATGTCCCTCACCTTTGACATCTGGACCGGTGAGAACAACGTGGCCTTCATGGGGGTGACTGCCCACTATGTCACCAGCGATTTCCAGCTAAAACAGGCTGTTATAGACTTCAGGGAGCTTAAGGGCTCTCATACGGGGGACTTGATAGCCGATGAGCTGGAGGAGGTGTTGAGGGAGTGGGGCTTGGAGAAGATGCTGTTCGCCGTGACGTGTGACAACGCCGAGAACAACAGCAGGGCGATGCGTCTGCTGGCCGGTGTACCTGACGCCAGGCCGGGCTCACGGCCCAGGCACCCACCACTGCTCAGTCGCTGGAGGCACTTCAGGTACTATGGGGCTGTCTCCGTAAGGGTATGCTATAAACTGTTGGCGTAGTCCACCATGTTTGTTATGGCAGTGCTCATGTGGTACAGTGACATTAAGGTTGTGCACAATGCATTGCCCCAACAGGTGCATGGCGCACGTCGTCAACCTTGCAGTGCAAGCTGCACTGAAGGTTGACGAGGTGGCCGAGCCACTCAAGAGGCTGCGAGACGTGGCGAACTACATCGGCTGGTCCACACTGCGCACAGATCGTTTCTTCGAGCTCCAGAAGGGATACGCGGCGACCCGGCCCCAGGGTCCTCCAGGTTCTCGGCGACCATCGGGTCCGTTGCGTTTGATCGTGGACTGCGTGACGAGATGGGGTTCTACACTCCACATGGTGAACAGGGGCTTCGAGCTGCGCATGCCCATTGCCATGTTTTTCGACGATTCAGATGTACGTATGGTTGGATTCACATGCATGTGCCACAATCCCATGCATGTGCCACCATCCCATGCATGCATGTGCCACCATCCCATGCGTGCATGTGCCACAATCCCATGCATGTGCCACCATCCCATGCATGCATGTCCCACCATCCCATGCATGTGCCACCATCCCATGCATGCATGTGCCACCATCCTATGCGTGCATGTGCCACAATCCCATGCATGTGCCACCATCCCATGCATGCATGTCCCACCATCCCATGCATGTGCCACCATCCCATGCATGCATGTGCCACCATCCCATGCGTGCATGTGCCACCATCCCATGCATGCATGTGCCACAATCCCATGCATGTGCCACCATCCCATGCATGCATGTGCCACCATCCCATGCATGCATGTGCCACCATCCCATGCATGTGCCACCATCCCATGCATGCATGTCCCACCATCCCATGCATGTGCCACCATCCCATGCATGCATGTGCCACCATCCCATGCGTGCATGTGCCACCATCCCATGCATGCATGTGCCACAATCCCATGCATGTGCCACCATCCCATGCATGCATGTCCCACCATCCCATGCATGCATGTGCCACCATCCTATGCATGTGCCACCATCCCATGCATGCATGTCCCACCATCCCATGCATGCATGTCCCACCATCCCATGCATGTGCCACCATCCCATGCATGCATGTGCCACCATCCCATGCGTGCATGTGCCACCATCCCATGCATGTGCCACCATCCCATGCATGTGCCACCATCCCATGCATGCATGTGCCACCATCCCATGCATGCATGTCCCACCATCCCATGCATGTGCCACCATCCCATGCATGTGCCACAATCCCATACTGTGCCTCCATCTTTACAACCCATGTGACCCATACCAGTCATCCATCAGCAAGGAGACTAAGAAGGCGTGGGACGCCATCAGGTTGACGGATGCGCACTGGGACGACTTCGCCGAGCTCCGAGACTTCCTCACCCCATTCGAGCAAGTCACCCTCTTCGCCGAGGGTTCTCTGTACCCTACCCTCTCAGCCGTTGTACCGCAGTACAACGCGCTGATTGATCTGCAGGAGAAGGCACAGCGCACTCCTGGCATCTCCCCTCTGCGCTCATCGCTGATCACTGCTGCTCTGAGCAAGCTGGAGCGACACATGGGGGGTGTGAGCGAGGAGGCAGCGATAGCCACTTTCTTGGACCCGCGCCAGAAGCTCGCGCCCTTCAAGCACCGAGTCAGGGCAGCAGAGGGGAATTCGAGAGGGACAACACTGGAGCTAGGACCTGATAGGGTGAAGGCCCTGGTACGAGCGCGCCTTCCAGAGTACCAGGCAGCCAGCACCACGGCGCTGCGAGATGGTGGGGAGGTGACTAGTGCGAGGGGTGCAGGGGTGCATGCGTCGGCAGGGGGTGGGGCTGTGGATGCATCGGCAAATGTCAGCATCCAGTCTCAGTTGTTCGCTGCGTGGGACGCCATGGAGGCCGAAGAGGGGGAGGATCTACAGGATGAGGTGGATCAGTACCTGGCAGAGGGGAGGCAGAGAGGTGGAAGCGCATTGGAGTATTGGCGCAGCAGGGAGACACTGATGGGCTTGAGGGCGATGGCTAAAGATTATCAGGGGGTACCGGCTTCGTCAGCAGCGAGTGAGCGCGCATTCTCACAGAGCAGGAACATCATTACTTGGCAGCGACACCGACTGGCAGCTGGCCAAGTGCGTGCTTCCATGCTGATTAAGACGTGGCAGGACCACCACCCTTCGGGGACTCTCGCTCCCAAGGGCACCTCAACGGCCAATCCCACCCTGGGAGTGGAGGATGAATCGATGGGGTTGTGATATTTGTTCGTAATTGATGCTCATGCCCTTAACTTCATCAGATAACGTGATCGGACCAAAACTTGATTGGTTCTTATTCCTGTGCGTCGAACTACTAGTTGACTCCGTTAGCTTTTAGGCCTTTGTAGGTTTTTTCCAAACACGTGTAACAGTTTACGCAACTTTGAATAGTTAATTTACAGAAGGGAGGACGCTCATATAATAATATATTACACAAACATTCAGTCTTTGCAACACTGGACAGTAGTGAGGAAACCCCTACACACTGCATATGGGGTTCTGGCCCGACCCGACCCGACCCGGCCCCTACCCGACCCGACCCGGGGGGGGGTCAAGCCTGACCCGGCACCCGATACCCGGGTCGGGCCAGGATTCCTAGAAGTTCCGACCCGACCCGACCCGACCCGAAACCCGGCTGGCCCGCCCAAGTCGGGTCGGGTCGGGTCGGGTCGGGCCTAATGATCATGCCTAGTTGCAGCTGACTGGGCTGGTCGACGGATGGGCCGTCGACCAGGAGGAGCAGTTCGACGACGAGGTCGACGGAGCAGTTCGTCGACGTGACATGAGAGCAGCAGTCGACGAGGGGAGCTCGGCGACAGCAACTGCAGTGCTGGTTGACGGAGGGGTCCGATGACCAGGATGTTGCTCCACGGGAGCTGTGGTCGACGAGGGAGTCGTCAACCAGAGCACTGAGTGGACGACGAACGCGTACAACTTCTGGTCAACTTTCCCCGAACAAGTCGACACCGACGTGGTGGTGTCCAGGTCGACCAGGTAACCTGTCCGGCGAGTTCTGCGGAGGCACACGAACATCGTCGAGGTCGCGGCGACGAAGGCGAACTTCGGCTCGTTAGGCGCAGACCAGGTCCGGCGAGTTCTGCGGAGGCACACGAACGTCGTCGAGGTCGCGGCGACGAAGGCGAACTTCGGCTCGTCAGGCGCAGACCAGGTCCGACGGATGCACAACGGTGCAAGTCGGGCCAATCGTCTGAGCACATGTGCGAGCGTTTGGACTGCTGCCTTCTACGGGGCAACGCTGGACAGCCGCCCTGCTGCAGCGCTGGCACGCCGTCGACATGCAGTGTTGGCAGGTCGCCTTTCCGCAGTGCTGACGCGGCTCCTCTACGCAATGCTGGCAGATGGTCGACCAAGCTGTGCTAGCGGTCGACCGGGCTAGCTGCAGCATTGTTAGGTGTCTGTATAGTCATTGTTGTCATTGTTTGTTGATTCATTCTGTAATGCGATCTTTGCCTATTGAAACTCTTGCCGATTTCTCCCGTGAATGTGCAAGTGCTAAGGAACTAAGCAAAGCTACGATCACTTCTGGTAGTTCGTGCCACCGCCCCCGTAGTCTAGCTCACTACTTTGTCGAGTGACTCTCCGCAATTCTGTCATTCGTTTTGCACTGTAACACCGGATGTGGTTACAACCATTTGTAAAACGTAAACTTCTCTCCCCCAGTCCCTACTTTCACCAATAGCACAAATCAACAGTTTTCTCACCACATTTTCCCTAAGCCTAATTAGTATCTCAATCTTCGCCTATAGTAGACATGAGCAAAAATCGAACCCTCGAGTCGAACCGAACAGTTTGTTTTTCGCAGAAAATGTTCGGCCAAACATCTAAGTGTTCGGGGTGAACATGTTTGAGTGTTCGAAATTTTGTTGTCCAGGCACGTCAAACATCAAACATGTTCGCGTGTTTGACGTGTCTAGGTCGCGTTCAAAGCCCAATGGCACTGGAAGGGGAGGGGCTTGAGGAGCAGGGACTGGAGAGGGTGTGCAGGGGGGTTGGGAGGCTGTGGAGGGGGAGGGAAGGGGCTTTAGAGGGGGGAAGAGGGCTGCTCGAACCGAAGACGTTCGTGTTTATTTGAGTGGTTTTTTCAATGCCTTCACACACAAACACCCAACAGTTTCAGACAACCTTCCTGACTGCCCGTGTCCAACATCCCCATACCTGTGACTGTAACAGAGGATGTCCCAAAACGAACACAAACAAGTTCGATGCGAACATGTTTGTGTTTCGGGACGAACACCTACATGTTCGGCTGTACGGGCGAACATCAAACACCCCTTTCAGTTGGAGGTGTTCGGCCGAACAAGAACGTGTTCGGTTCGCCCTTTGCTCCAGCCTACCTTACCCAACCCAACCAGAAGTTTGGTCGGGTCAGGTTGCCCAACCCGAACGGGTCGTATGCCCATGTCCATTCGAACAAGGCATGAGAGATGAGCACATCATCGTGATAGCTTGCACACGCTCTAATAGACGGGGTTGGAAGTGGGAGATGTTACGCCCAGATTTGAATGTCACACGAGGTGCCTATCTCTCAATAGGTGCCTTCAAGTAGGAGCACAAACGTTTTGTTCTTTACTTCAAATTAGATTTCGTACCACGTGGAACTCAATGGATACCATAAGACACGCTGTTCTAAATGTCACAGAAGCATGCAAACATGTATATACACCAAAGCAGAAATAGCATGAAAAATCAATTATGACTCGTGGAAAAAGTGGATAACCGAGTAATAAAATGTTGTTGAAGGAATGAATGGGAGCCATCCAAGCCAAAACTGAAGCGTTAATCAATTGACACTGACAAGGATTCAAGGCTGCTCATATTGCCGAAGGTGGACGGAATAGAACCTTGCAATTTGTTATATGATAGATCCCTGGAGATAGAGAAGAGAGAGAGAAGGGAAGAGAGGGATAGAGTAAGTAGATGGTGGGAGAGGGAAGTGGAAATGGAGGTTGAAAAAATCGTGAGACTTTACTGTGAAAGGCATTGTGGGAAGTCGAAGATGTTACTCCCAGATTTAAATGTGACGACAAGAATTGCCCATCCGAGTAGGTGCTTCCAAGAAAGTTTGAGCAAAAGGTAAATTCGAACAAGTTTGAGTCGAACGTAAACAAACATTTACCTTGTTCGGTTCGCCTCGGAGCCTTTTTTTTTCCCTAGGAAAGGGTTAGTTTGTTCGAGGGTACAGTCAAACACTTTATTTCTTGCCTCGAACCCTATAGTGTTTGACTCGATTCGAGCTAGTTCGAGTTCGAGGCACCTTTTGCTATTTTGATAGCCTTTACTATTGAATGGTCCAGCTAGTATGCAGACGGACGTATGGGCTGCTGCTTAGGAGTCCTCTATTGCTGCAGCAATATAATTCTCGCTTTGGTACATAAGAAGAATGCGTTGGAAACTTGTAGACGTTCTCTTCATGAATCTCTATTTTCCAGCCAGGCATGAAGCAGCTGGAACCAATCACAAGATAGCTGTCAAGCCAAAGAATATTGAGCTGGACCAGACCAAGTTCGGCCATTCATACCTTCTTCTCCCTACCTATTACCAGTGAATGGTCTCTCCGTGGGCTCGTGTAGTTTTGAATGGCTCCTGTAGTCGACAACCCCGCCTTACATTTTGTATTTTCTGCCTGGATATATATTACCCGTATTTGTGCGTACATACACGTGTGTTTACCTTTACGAGAAACACCATTATGACTACGGTGGGTTAAAAAATGTTCGAACCCAACTTAACCCTCCTTGGTAGCTGCCATGTCAACCTATGTGTTAAGAATCTACAGCCAAGGCTTTGATTTCCCTGATGCGGCGAGAGTGTACTTCGCCAAAAAAGTCGCGCGTCCAACAGACATTTTTTTTGAATTCCGTTTTACACCAGTACATTCTGTTTTACAACTGGAAAGCGTATTCCCGCAAGTGGCTTCATGAATATTCATAAGAATTCACGAATGCTCGCGAGAGGAGTCAGTAGAGGCGTTTGAAGGATATGCAGAATGAAGGCAAATTTTCAGAACTGGCGAACCAAGACAAGTTAAGCAGAAGCTGGGCAAACATTTTCCAATGCAGTCCTGGCACAGTCCTAGAATGCAGTTACATAACTGTATGGTGTTTGCATTTCCTTGTGCTTAGTCTTCATTACAAATGTGTGCTTGTCTTGGGTTGTAGTCTTTCTTCTCAGTGAAAATTGCTCAATTGATGTATTTACACGAATAGTTATATCTGCACATGAGTCAATCGGTCGTTTTAACACGAACCCCAGGACCCTTGGAGGTGACCGCGTGGAGATTACAGTGTGAGTTAATTGGTGTATAGAGCTTTCTAGATCCTAGTAGTAGTGAACACCACAAACATGCGATGAATTATGGACATGGCATGGTAAGCATAATACGAGAGGGGAGCGTGCAGATGCTGAGAGTTGAACCCGCAACCTATGAGAATAAAGCTGAGAAACTACCCACTCGGACACACTTGGTGCACATTGACCATCAAAGATGCAAAAGGACATGCGCATGCTTGCAACCCAGTGTCTTTCAGTAAACAAGACCGAGGGTGTGTTTCTTTGAAACTTACATTTAACTACTTCATCAAGGGTCAAATGGTGCCCTAATTTTGACCGGCAAGTCCGCACATGAACCAGTCTAGTCCGTGCCTATGTTCCATCGGACGCGTCCAGCGTTTTTTACACCAGCGTTTGGACGGGGCGTCTAGACGCCGGACGCCCAGATTCCTCTACCCTGGACTCTCGCTGACGCTCGTCCACACAGGGCAAAAAATGTTTCCCGGGTAGGGTGCAAAAAGCCCTTGGTAGTAAGCCAAAACAGGGGTTAGGATGTAAAAAATGACAATGTCAACAAAAGTACCAGAAACTCCAGTAAATCCACAAAATTCACACACAAGTTAAATACTACCTGGTCTCGCATGCATAATTTTGAAAAGGGGGGGTTGGGCACATTTTCATCAACAAGCAGACGATCTTCGCCCTTGTCCACCTCCGCATCTCCGTCCTCATGCAGAATGTACCCCTCGGAGACCGGGGGGTCCGGGATGCTCCCCCCAATTATCCCGGCCCCTTCCTCCTCAGCAGGTCGCTTGTGCACATTATGCACCAAGCGCCAGTTGTGGGCCACTAACACCAAGTCATGGCATTTCTCCGACCCTAGCTGGTTCCGGTGAGCCGTGTGCACCCCCTCCCACACAGCCCAATTACACTCGCTCGAGGAGGCGGAGACGGGCTGGGCGAAGACACGGCGC